AAAAACTCTCTCTCCCTACCAGCCATCTGCGGTGGCCTGTATCTTTCGTATGGCATGTGGTGGTCGTCAACTCGTCGGCCGAGCAGCTCGGTGTTAAGGGGGACTTTAATTGATGGAGTTTTTGCGGTTTTTGGTCCTTAAATTCTGTGTGCGTGTGTGTAAAGATTAGAATTTGAGGAGATGGGTGTGGTGAATTTGTCGTGTTCATTTGGAATTTGCAGTACAATTGAGAAAAATTGCAGAGGTATTTGCAGGCGGCATTAGGGTTTGGTACACATGGCAAAATCCAGTTCCGGGCCTGGGTCCGGGCCAAGGGTTGGATAAACCAGACCTGGCCCGAATGTTGGCACGGGCTGGTTCACCGAACCGACGGTTCCAGGCCCGTTCACCGACCCTGCGGTTTGGGGCCGGTTCAGCTGGCTCTGGGCCGGTTTTTATTTTAAAAGAAAACGAAGAAGGGGGTGTTTAAAGAAATTAGACTTGAGTTTAGATGATATATTATAAGTTAAAATATCAATTAAGTTTAAAAAAATTTGGGTTACAAAATGATATTTTAACTTGTAATATGTCAATTAAGTTGTCTACGTATCACTTACCTCGGGAATCAAAGTTCTCGTAGTTTTCTTACAATACTTTCCTTGATAAAAGTAGATGACAGGTTTGAACCGAATGTCTAGTCATCGTAGTCGTAGGTGTAATAGTCCTCTTTATTTCCAGCGGTTCCACTAGTATTAGTAGTAACGTCGGATGCTTCATCATCTTCACCATCTACGACAGTTAGCATGGTCTTTTGTGCCCTCATCTTGGCCTTCTTCCAGTCCCCCAGCATTTGAGCCTCTAGGTTTTCTGGCGTCAACCTTGCCAGTCTTGCGTCCAGTGTATATCCTCCCTCGCATAATGCTTGTTCAACCGTCACTGTTGAGGCCGAGACAACGAAAATCTCCTGGGCCATCACGCATGGAATTTGATAAATGGGAGTCATCTTTGATCACAAATCCAAGACATCGTATGGCGGAACTGGTTCACGAGCAATCGTAAGTATCAAACTCGCTGTGAGGTAATGATCAAGCTCATTGTATCTAGTCTCCTTTGCCTTTTGGATCTTCGTATTTTTGTAGGGAGTAAAGTCATCTCGCCAGTCATCAAAGTTTTGGGCTTGTTGCATCGTCTATCCTCATTGTCCATAAGAAGAAGACTTGAAAGCAGTTGAAGAAAATGACGCCGAAATTTTTCCGAGTCTCATTGTTGTTTCCTTAAACAATTCATACAATATAAGTTTTGCTTGCTCGACGAGCTGCCGTGGGTTAGGTCTTACACCGATAATCGGGACATCAGTAGGAAGTGAGAGTTGATACATAATATCATAATTTGTTTGAAGTTGGTTGAGCAATCATTTTTCACGTAATGACATATCTATCAAAGCTGCAACTAAAATTGTATCGGGAATAAAAAAATATTTTAACTATTATCATAACATATATCTTACAAGTTCGCCTTGTAAGTCAGGATCACTAGTAAAAATATCTCAAAAACCCCACATTACAGCTACATATCGACTTACAACAAGTTGATCAGTAGGATAGTAAACACTAGAAAGTGCGTTAGTAGCATCTTGAAATTTTTCTAAAATTTTCATAAGTGTGTGGCAATTTACGCAACCACCGCCAGTAACGGTGACATCACAATCATCCTTGCCATGAGAACTATGAAAAAATTCCTCTAATTTATGAGAAAATACATATGTTTTCAATAACATTTTATAAGTTGGATTCCAACGAGTAGGAACATCCGGTTGGAATTTTTTAGGTGTAAAACCTACGAAAAAATTTCTCTAATTGTAGTTGTTTACAATTGAACAACGAAAAATTAGCAGATGAAATGAATATAATAATCGTTTCACCATTTCGAAAAGGAATCATGAACTTCAAAAGCATGTGCTCTATATTCAAGAGAATTTTCCTAACACGGTTTGCTTCGCCGAACACGGCTCCTTCACCTCATTTCGTTTTCACGTGCAACATGATGGGAACAACCATTCTACTCTCTGGATCTTTGCCACCGATTTCGCTCCAACACATTTTAGAGGTTCACCATAAAATCAAAGTAATAACACCAATTATGCCAATGATGTAATGCCTACAGTCTTCATTATGTATCGTGCTTCCAATTCTCTTGTACGCCTACAATAGAGTAATAACGGAATGCTCACACAGAGACGGCATACAGATTCTTCAATCCTTGAAGTTTGTTGATTGTAGTCTCTGTGTACTTTCTCTATATTGCTCTATTGTAGGCGTATAAGAGAGTTGGAAGCATGATACATAAGGGAGACTGGACATGGCATCATTGACATAATTGATGTTATTGCTTTGATTTGATGGTTAACTTCTCAAATGCGTTGGAGCGATAATCGGTAGTGAAGGTCCTGAGAGCAGAATTGTTGTTCCCGTCACGATGCACGTAAAAACGAAACGACAGTGGTGAGCAGTGTCTGACAGTGCGAACCACGATGTGACAATTTTCCCGAATATTAGGCACATGCTTTTCAAGCTCATGATTCCTTTTCGAAATGATGAAATAGTTTTTATATCCGTTTTATCTGCTAATTTTTCGTTGTTCAATTATGAACAACTCCAACAACTGGTGCTGAGATTTAAATGAGTAGCATAGTCTAAAAAAATATCTTACATTGTTAACTTCATTTTCTCTCAACTCTTACCCACTTAAATGTTATAGTTCTTAGACATGATAATAGGCATTTAGACAGTTAATTCTTTGTACACGACATTGTTGACCGTCTTTTCCCCTATTTAGCCTCCACGGGGGAAAGTGACGTCACTCCTGGAAGTATTGAAGAATCTGCATGTCAGCATGTCAGCCTGTGCAAGCGTTCTCTTTATTGCTATACTGTAAGCGTATAATGGAGAATGTGGGCGTGGCAAACACGGATTCACCACCGCCGTTTCGATTTCGCTCGGCTTTATCGTTAGGTTCTTTTGTTTTTTTTTTTCAAGTACTAGAATTACAAAAAAACGGGAGAACTGCCAGAACCGGGCTAAAACTGGCGAGTCAATTGAACCGGCCCAGAGGTATGGCCGGGGGCCAGTTCCGGGCCCATCATTTGAGGCCCGCTAACCCGCCGGGCTGGGTCGTGAACCAGCCTGGCATTTGGGCACGCCTATGTGGATGTAAGCTTTAAGGGTTAGTATGTAACCAGTTGGTTATCCGAATTCAATATTTTCGAGTTCTTGATTTAATTCTATTTGACGTTTGAAAAAAAAATTTGAAATTGTTCAAAATGTTCACCAACTTCCAACTGCATTAAGCATAAAGTCGCAATTTTGTTATTACTGTCAGGTTCCTTTTATGTTTTGATGTCTGATGACAAAAACTGACGTTTAAACCAATCTATAGTCATACGAATTAATATTTCCACCGTTTATGTGGCATGTACACATTGGGCATATTAATTCTCTCACTGCTTATGCCCGATGTGTACATGCCACATAAGCAGTGGGCATATTAATTTCCTGTCCACCGTGGGTAGGGGAGAAGATCCCGATATTAATAATATATTACAAAATTCAACAACTAAAGGGTTATCATTAACTACAAGTTCAGATAAAACTTAAACAGAATTTGGAAACAACAGCCAAATGCCAAACAACAATATTCAACAGGGAAACCTTATAGTTTGTGTCCCTTAAGAGGGTTAAAAAGAATAACTCAAAATAGAAGGCATGCCCAATACATCTGCTTAGCTTCATAATTAAAACTGATGGGGCACAAGAAAAGAAGTTTTTAATTACTACCATCAGGATTTTGTTTGATCCCACTGCAACAGAAGAAGTGCGGCAACTTGACCCGACCACAAACCCTAACAAGATAGCAAAAAGGCGGGGTGTAAACAGTTTACCATAGCATAAGAGACAAATTACTAACTTGAATTATAGAGGATGAAGCCATTTTTTATTAATTATATTTTTTCCCCTTCCCTGAGAATAACAGCTTACTCTCATGCTTTCAAACCAACAGCTGATACATGCATTTTAAGGATCAAGATGACAATTTAAAATCCACAGTACACACAGGCTTCCCAACTACTTCACACAGAAAATAGAGAACATGAGTAAAGGATTAACCCATAATTCTTAATCCAGAGTCGAGTAGGTTACACCATTCAGAATAATAAAAGGCTTTGTTGATTCGCATCATAAGTTTCATGCTCTTCAATGATGAAGAAACCAAAACTTTAATTCAAAAGGCCTACTCCTTTCCTCATAAATCATTTTCTTGTTAATTGGATTATACAAGTGACTAATTTAACAATGGTCAATAAACAATATATATATGTTGAGCTTTGAACTTTCAGAAGAAATAAAGACTTACGTGCAACGGATGATTACTGGGACAGGTTTCAAAGCCTTTGGTCCATTTCTAATACCTCTCTTGTGTTTACTAACCTGCAGGAAACATCACCTTCAAGTAACTAACGGTCATTTGAGCAAGAAAAAAAACATACGGCACAATAGCATCAGCTAAACCAAATTATAATTGTTAAAAGAAAAACAAATGTAGCAATATCTGAACTTCAATTTCCTAAATGCTTGGCAGGTGGCAATGATATATGTTGGAATTGCTTCATCCCAACCAGCTCGACAGGACATCAAGGAATGACTTAAAGAAAGTAAATTTTCAAACAGGAAGTTCCATTGAGTAATAAAGAATTCATTATTACAAACTCAAAGAAGTTGAAAAATCGGACCAGAACGGATTACAAACATAGAAGTCTCCTAACTTGAATAGGGGAAGAGAATCAACAAGCTTATTTGCCTAAACCAACAAACAGATTTTACAAGAATATCTAGGTTAGCAGATTAAATAAACAAAAAGAAACAAATGAAAATCAATGCTATCATTTCAGCAGCTTCATTTTGCCTAACCCCACTCAAAGATATTCAAAACCGGTTGGAAATCCATACAATCAGACAGCCATCAAAATTCGATGATACCAATTATCTAACATAGCCTTCTTATCCAAGCCATTTCACCGTAATCCCTAAATCCCTAGATGAGCCCTAACCAAAGCCCCAATGAAGAACGAAAGACAACAAAAAATAATAGAAAACAAACAAAAGAATTGTCACAACAGAGCACCAGAAGAAGCAAGATAGCAATCACCTTAAAGATAAATCTTCAGAAAAAATTGTCAAATAATTAAAGATAAAATAAAAGCTCGCCTTTTTTTTGGGGACAGCCATGAGTTCCATGGCACCACCAGGAAATGGGAAACAAGGTAACTCATCTCTAACGTCTTTGTCGTCATAATCTTCCGGGAAAATCATCGGCGGCAGTGAGGTATTGATATGAGGGTCGATGGCGGTCGAGAGCGGCGGCGGTCGAGCCACGGCATGGGCCAGCCGACGGAGGCCTCCAACGGCGCAACCCGCTTTTCTCCCGGCGCTTTGTAGCATTGAGGCCCGTAAAGTTAATGGAATGCGAAATCAGCTACGACGACGATTGCCGGAGAAAATAGGTATAGAGAGGGTTTAAGTGGTGCAGTGGAGGTATAAACTATGCGCGAGTGACGCAGATGTGAAGGAAAAATGATTAATCTATTGAATTATTCATCTCAAAAACAAAATTATGTATTTACTCAATATAANATAGATTTTATAAGCATTATAAGGGAGGTTTACAATGAAGACCAAAGGGATAAATAGCCCTATCAAAGCACCAAAGAGTTAAAATCGAGAGAAATGCTAACTGTATCACCCAAAACAAAAAAACTGGAGTCTAACAATCCTGCAAAGACTAGAAGCACTCAAAACGAGAGGAGCTCATCCCAAACAAAACAATGAACTAAATACTCCAACAAGTAGAGAACACACACACAAAGAAATTAACACACACCTAATCTAACTATAGACTACTACCTCCACAAGTACCGAAAGCAACCCACAACAGAACCCAAACGAGTACGAAGCCAGAAACCACAAATGACAAACCACGAACAGGACCAAGAGCACAACACAACCAGACCCACGAACTAAAAACTCCACGAAAGCGGCTAGGTAGAACCAACTCCAGATCTGTCAAACCCGCAGTCACTGGTCGAGGAAGAAAGAAGGCCCAAATGGATTTGCTCCAACCAATGCATGAGAACCAAACTCGCTCACCCTAAAGGGGCCCGACTCAGCGATGAGCCCGTCAGGAGGCCACCCTCTTGGAGATGACGGCGGATATGCGGCCAGGAAACCGAAATCGGTTGGGCCAAGGCAGAGGACCTCAAGACAAGGCGGCGACACTAAACCCAACTCGAGAGAGGGCAACAAGGCGTTACCGCACCTGGCCTACTTCCGCTCACGACCGCTACCGGAGAACCAGTACACGACGACGCGAGGCCCTTCGAGACGCAGCATTGGGAGACAGCAGGGCCTCTAGCCTCAAGACCCAGCCAAAATTGGTTTATAACGAAAATATTCATTAGCAATTCGTTGAAATTCATTAGTCAAAATTAATTTAACGAAAAAAGAAACTTTTATATTCATATTATGAATTAATAGAAGGTGATGAGATAAAAAAAAAAAATCACTATTCATGAAAAAATGACAATCTCAACAAATAATATTTATTATTAAAAATGAAGATAAAATAAGTGATGAGATCCTATGGGATTGTTATAATAATAAATTATGAACAATTGAAATAATTCCTATTCAAAAGAAAGGTATTAGTTTTACAAATATGGGTAATACATAGTTCTATATTTAATAACTTGGTAATCTTTTTATATAAACAAAAAAATTTGGGGAGAATTACTATCACATATCAATTCCCTCCAAAATTGCATTTTTTTTCCAACAGTGACA